ATCAAACATCCCTGTGCAGGAAATGCTGCCAGTATCCGATATCAGTTCGCATCCAATGATAACACGCTCTAAAGTTTCGAATAGCCAATGTAACTTTGCGCTCGCTGATGAACCCAGTAACTATATAGATGCAATAACAAGTTCAGATTCAGAAAGATGGAAATTAGCCATGGATGAAGAGATTGATGCATTAAATAAAAATAAAACATGAACTTTAGAACGTTTGGCAGATGGTCATAAACCTATCGGTTGTAAATGGGTTTATAAAATTAAAACGGAGTCCGATGGTACAATTCAATGGTTGAAAGCCAGATTAGTTGCAAAAGGCTATTCTCAAATAAAAAATGTTGACTATTTCGATACGTTTAGCCCAGTAGTCAGGTATGATTCGTTACGCATTCTTTTTTCACACGCTGCTTCTGAAAGGATGTTTCTTAAGCAATTCGATGTAAAGACAGCTTTTCTCAATGGCGAATTAGAGGAACTTGTTTATCTTGAACAACCAGAAGGCTACAAGAGAGATGATAATAGCTGCTATAGATTACATAAAAGTCTGTATGGTCTGAGACAATCTTCTAGAAATTGGAATAAGAAATTTACCAATTTTTTGTATAGCCATAATTTCAAAACATCAGACGCCGACCCGTGCATTTTCATTGGAACACACAATGATTCAAATGTTATCTTAGCTCTCTATGTTGATGATGAAATTATTCTATCTAAAGATAAAGAGGCAATAGCTATTATAATGGATGAGTTAGAACACGCATTTGATATTACATCTGGAAGTGTTAACTTTTTGTTGGGCTACAAATAGAGCAGTCAGAAGATAGGGCAAGTATTTTCATTCACCAGTCATCATATATTGACAAAATTTTGAGTGAATTTAATATGGCTGACTGTATTCCTGCTTCGGTGCCTATGGATCCTTCTGTCATCTTAACAAAGCAGGACTGTCCTACTCCAGAACAAAAGGAAAAGATGCCTAAATTCCCTTTTCGAGAAGCTGTTGGATCCCTTATGTTTGCATCATGTGTTTCACGTCCAGATATCACTTATGCAGTTTCACAAGTGAGTAAATTCCTAGAATATCCAGGACCTGCACATTGTACAACAGTCAAGAATATTTTCCGTTATCTGAAAGGCACTCCACACATGGGAATTCTCTTCACTGGACAAGACCAACTTGTTGGCTACTCTGATAGTGATTTTGCTCGTGATGTTGACTCCAGAAAAAGTACGACTGGTTATGCCTTCATGATGAACGGAGGAACTGTTTCTTGGGCAAGCCAACGACAACCAATTATCGCACTTTCAACCACCGAAAGTGAATACATCGCTGCCTGCAGTGCTGCTAAGGAATTGATTTGGATCAGAAGACTTCTACAGGGCATCGGCTGTGATATTACTAAAGAAACTGAACTTTATATCGACAACCAAGCAGCAATAAAACTTGTTGAAAATCCAGTATTCCACAAACGAACGAAACATATTGATGTTCGCTACCACTTCATTAGATCCAAACATGAAGAAGGTGAACTTAAAGTGCATCATGTTTGCAACTCAGAACAGCTAGCTGATATAATGACTAAACCTCTTCCACGAAACAAATTCCACTACTTAAGAGGTCTACTGAACATTTTGGATCGAGAGGGAGTGTTGGAATAGCGATCAAAAATTGGCGTGGAGTATTGGGGGATCGACCAATCAACGGCCGCGGCGGCGCTGCGGTCGACGTCAATATATATAGTCTTTGTCTCTCGCCTTCCCATCTACTTACTTGCCTTTAAAATTTTGCTACTTTAACATCTTGTTTTAAGTTACTTTGTTTAATAAATAATCCTTTTATTCCTTGATTCAATCTCAAACTTCAACAATAATGACGTTTAATTAATATATATAGTCACGACCGTCTGTCGTGGCCTCTGTCACGGATATTATACAGTTATCATCGTCATGCGTTCTTAATTCTGTCACCGTTTGCTTTTGGTTCAGTGGTAGAATGCTCGCCTGCCACGCGGGGGCCCCGGGTTCGATTCCCGGCCGATGCATTTTTTTTTTTTTACAATTTTTAAAACTCATTTATATATTATACAAGAATGACATCCACGGCGCCAATTTATAATTGTAGCGAATATTATCTGAATAAAAGCATTTAATCGGGTAAACCCCGGGCGTTGTAGATTATAAACACAAGGTAATAAGACCACATCCATGATAAGGTACAGTTTGGATTATAGATTATAAACACAAGGTAATAAGACCACATCCATGATAAGGTACAATTTGGATTATAGATTATAAACACAAGGTAATAAGACAACATCCATAATAAGGTACAGTTTGGATTATAGATTATAAACACAAGGTAACAAGACCACATCCATGAAAAGGTACAGTTTGGATTATCAACATATATAGTCACGACCGTCTTTCCTCAATTCCGCAATTCCTCATGTCACTGATGCGCGCGCATCATCATTATATCATTATCATTATCTAATGTTAATAATAATTTTAATTATTATTATATTATTATTATTATTATTTTATTATTATCAACATATATAGTCACGACCGTCTTTCCTCAATTCCTCATCGCTGTCACGGATGCGCGCGCATCATCATTATGATCATTATCATTATCTAATGATAATAATAATAATAATTATTATTATATTATTATTATTATTATTATCAACATATATAGTCACGACCGTCTTTCCTCAATTCCTCATGTCACGGATGCGCGCGCATCATCATTATGATCATTATCATTATCTAATAATAATAATAATAATAATTATTATTATTATTATTTTTATAATAATAATTATTATTATATTATTATTATTATCCCTATATATAGTCACGACCTTCATGGCCGGTTCTGTCACGGATGCGCGCGCATCATCATTATGATCATTATCATTATCTAATGATAATAATAATAATAATAATAATTATTATTATTATTATTATCAACATATATAGTCACGACCGTCATGGGCCGGCTGGCGGTTCTGTCACGGATGCGCGCGCATCATCATTATGATCATTATCATCATCCAAATAATTTGGATTATAGATTAGAAGGTAATAAGACCAAATCTACTGATAAGGTACAATTTGGAATATCGATTAGAAGCAGAAGGTAATAAGACCAAATCTAATGATAAGGTACAATTTGGATTATCAACATATATAGTCACGACCGTCTTTCCTCAATTCCTCAATTCCTCATCGCTGTCACGGATGCGCGCGCATCATCATTAGTATAATTTTAAAAGCCAACAATGAAGAATGAATGTAAGAAAAAAAACCAACAATGAAGAGTAAATATGATATAAAAAGCCAACAATGAAGATTGAATGTAAGATAAAAAGCCAACAATGAAGAGTGAATGTAATATAAAAAGCCAACAATAAAGAGTAAATGTAATATAAAAAGCCAACAATGAAGAATAAATGTAAGATAAAAAGCCAACAATGAAGAATAAATATAATATAAAAAGCCAACAATGAAGAATAAATGTAAGATAAAAAGCCAACAATGAAGAGTAAATATAATATAAAAAGCCAACAATGAAGAATGAATGTAAGATAAAAAGCCAACAATGAAGAGTAAATATGATATATAAAGCCAACAATGAAGAATGAATGTAAGATAAAAAGCCAACAATGAAGAGTAAATGTAATATAAAAAGCCAACAATGAAGAATATATGTAAGATAAAAAGCCAACAATGAAGAGTAAATATAATATAAAAAGCCAACAATGAAGAGTGAATGTAAGATAAAAAGCCAACAATGAAGAGTAAATGTAATATAAAAAGCCAACAGAGTAAATGTAAGATAAAAAGCCAACAGAGTAAATGTAAGATAAAAAGCCAACAATGAATAGTAAATGTAATATAAAAAGCCAACAATGAAGAATGAATGTAAGATAAAAAGCCAACAATGAAGAGTAAATATAATATAAAAAGCCAACAATGAAGAGTGAATGTAAGATAAAAAGCCAACAATGAAGAGTAAATATAATTTAAAAAGCCAACAATGAAGAGTAAATCTCTATATATATAAAAATGAATGTTTGTATGTTTGTCTGTTTGTATGTTTGTTTGTATGTCCGGTATACAAATTCGCAGTAGTTCACTAATTCAAACCAAAATGTCCATACATAGGTAAAAAAATACGTGGAAGACGAAAGGCTATTTTAAAAAATATATAAATCAATTATTAAAACTATATATTTTTAGTCAGAAAATGATGATGACGATATTGCTGTATCTTGTTTGATTATCAGATACAAAATTATATCGGGAAAAATTCCAAAAAGCAGAGACCACGGGTGAAACCAGTTCATTATTTTGTACGCAGGAACAAAATTCTAACAGAAAAACATTCATTCGAGCAGAAAACAAAAGCCAGATCATCTTTCTATAAAAATATCGCTTCTCAGACACAAAGTTTGCAGCGGGACGTTTCACAAGTGTGACATCCACGGCGCCAATTTATAATTGTAACGAATAGTATTTGAATAAAAACATTCAATCGGGTAAAACACGGGCGTTGCCCGGGTCATTCGTCTAGTCCCTATATATAGTCACGACCGTCATGGGCCGGTTCTGTCACGGATGCGCGCGCATCATCATTATGATCATTATCATTATCTAATGATAATAATAATAATTATTATTATTATTATATTATTATTATATAGTCACAACCGTCTTTCCTAAATTCCTCAATTCCTCATCGGCCGCTGTCACGGATGCGCGCGCACAGGGAGGTCACGTGCTCGCCGGCAGCCAACGGGCGCGCGCCGCCGGCATTACGTCATAGATTATAAACACAAAGTAATACGGCCAAATATAAAAATAGTGTGTGATAAGGCACAATTTGGATTATCTACTTATATAATTGCCTTATTCTGTCTGTGTGAAGTTCACTGTGTGAAGTTCAGGATAGATTTTGGTCAGAATGGATAAAATAAAAAAAGTGTCAAGGGATGGGAATTGAACCCACGACCTTCCGCTTACCGGGCAGATGCCATGACCAACTAAGCTACCCTGGACATATTTTTCCGTTCACATTTTTATTTTTATATTTTCAAGACACACACAGTTTGGGGCGGGACGTTTCACAAGAGAGACATCCACGGCGCGAATTTATAATTGTAACGAATAGTATTTTAATTAAAACATTTTAAAAATATATACGCACTCGGGTAAAACCCGGGCGTTGCCCGGGCCATTCGTCAACATATATAGTCAAGACCGTCATGGGCCGGCAGGTTCTGTCACGGATGCGCGCGCATCATCATTATGATCATTATCATTATCTAATGATAATAATAATAATAATAATTATTATTAGTATTATTACTATATATTATTATTATATAGTCACAACCGTCTTTCCTCAATTCCTCATCGGCCGCTGTCACGGATGCGCGCGCACAGGGAGGTCACATGCTCGCCGGCAGCCAACGGGCGCGCGCCGTCGGCATTACGTCATAGATTATAAACACAAGGTAATAAAGAAATATAAAAATAGTGTGTGATAAGGAACAATTTGGATTATCTACTTATATAATTGCCTTATTCTGTCTGTGTGAAGTTCACTGTGTGAAGTTCACGGATAGATTTTGGTCAGAATGGATAAAATAAAAAAAGTGTCAAGGGATGGGAATCGAACCCACGACCTTCCGCTTACCGGGCAGATGCCATGACCACTAAGCTACCCTGGACATATTTTTCCGTTCACATTTTTATTTTTATATTTTCAAGACACACACAGTTTGGGGCGGGACGTTTCACAAGAGAGACATCCACGGCGCCAATTTATAATTGTAACGAATAGTATTTTAATTAAAACATTTTTAAAATATATACGCACTCGGGTAAAACCCGGGCGTTGCCCGGGCCATTCGTCAACATATATAGTCACGACCGTCATGGGCCGGCAGGTTCTGTCACGGATGCGCGCGCATCATCATTATGATCATTATCATTATCTAATGATAATAATAATAATAATAATAATAATTATTATTATTATATTATTATTATCCATCCCTATATATAGTCACGACCGTCATGGGCCGGTTTTGTCACGGATGCGCGGGCACAGGGAGGTCACGTGCTCGCCGGCAGCCAACGGGCGCGCGCCGCTGGCATTACGTCATAGATTATAAACACAAGGTAATAAGGCCAAATAAAAAAATAGTGTGTGATAAGGCACAATTTGGATTATCTACTTATATAATTGCCTTATTCTTTCTGTGTGAAGTTCACTGTGTGGAGTTCACGGAATGATTTTGGTCAGAATGGATAAAATAAAAAAAGTGTCAAAGGGATGGGAATCGAACCCACGACCTTCCGCTTACCGGGCAGATGCCATGACCACTAGGCTACCCTGGACATATTTTTCCGTTCACATTTTTATTTTTATATTTTCAAGACACACACAGTTTGGGGTGGGACGTTTCACAAGAGAGACATCCACGGCGCCAATTTATAATTGTAACGAATAGTATTTTAATTAAAACATTTTAAAAATATATACGCAATCGGGTAAAACCTGGGCGTTGCCCGGGCCATTCGTCTAGTCCCTATATATAGTCACGATCGTCATGGGCCGGCTGGCCGGCCGGCCGGTTCTGTCACGGATGCGCGCTCATCATCATTATGATCATTATCATTATCTAATGATAATAATAATTATTATTATCATTATTATTATTATTATATTATTATTATATAGTCACAACCGTCTTTCCTCAATTCCTCATCGGCCGCTGTCACGGATGCGCGCGCACAGGGAGGTCACGTGCTCGCCGGCAGCCAACGGGCGCGCGCCGCCGGCATTACGTCATAGATTATAAACACAAGGTAATAAGGCCAAATAAAAAAATAGTGTGTGATATGGCACAATTTGGATTATCTACTTATATAATTGCCTTATTCTGTCTCTGTGAAGTTCACTGTGTGAAGTTCACGGATACGCGCGCATCATCATTATGATCATTATCATTATCTAATGCTAATAATAATAATAATTATTATTATTATTATATTATTATTATTATCAACATATATAGTCACGACCGTCATTTGCCGGCCGGCCGGTTCTGTCACGGATGCGCGCGCACAGGGAGGTCACGTGCTCGCCGGCAGCCAACGTGCGGGCGCCGCCGGCATTACGTCATAGATTATAAACACAAGGTAATTAGGCCAAATAAAAAAATAGTGTGTGATTTTTCTCTCTTTGTGAAGTTCACTGTGTGAAGTTCATGGATAGATTTTGGTCAGAATGGATAAAATAAAAAAAGTGTCAAGGATGGGAATCGAACCCACGACCTTCCGCTTACCGGGCAAATGCCATGACCACTAGGCTACCCTGGACATATCTTTCCGTTCACATTTTTATTTTTATATTTTCAAGACACACACAGTTTGGGGCGGGACGTTTCACAAGAGAGACATCCACGGCGCCAATTTATAATTGTAAAAAATAGTATTTTAATTGAAACATTTAAAAAATATATACGCACTCGGGTAAAACCCGGGTGTTGCCCGGGCCATTCGTCTAGTCAACATATATAGTCACGACCGTCATGGGCCGGCCGGCCGGTTCTGTCACGGATGCGCGCGCATCATCATTATGATCATTATCTAATGATAATAATAATAATAATTATTATTATTATTATTATATTATTATTATTATTATCCATCCATCATCAACATATATAGTCAAGACCGTCATGGGCCGGCCGGTTCTGTCACGGATGCGCGCGCACAGGGAGTTCACGTGCTCGTCGGCAGTCAACGGGCGCGCGCCGCCAGCATTACGTCATAGATTATAAACACAAGGTAATAAGGCCAAATAAAAAAATAGTGTGTGATAAGGCACAATTTGGATTATCTACTTATATAATTGCCTTATTCTCTCTGTGTGAAGTTCACTGTGTGAAGTTCACGGATAGATTTTGGTCAGAATGGATAAAATAAAAAAAGTGTCAAGGGATGGGAATCGAACCCACGACCTTCCGCTTACAGGGCAGATGCCATGACCACTAGGCTACCCTGGACATATTTTCCCGTTCACATTTTTATTTTTATATTTTTAAGACACACACAGTTTGGGGCGGGACGTTTCACAAGAGAGACATCCACGGCGCCAATTTATAATTGTAACGAATAGTATTTTAATTAAAACATTTTTAAAATATATACGCACTCGGGTAAAACCCGGGCGTTGCCCGGGCCATTCGTCTAGTCAACATATATAGTCACGACAGTCTTTCCTCAATTCCTCATCGGCCGCTGTCACGGATGCCAACAATGAAGAATGAATGTAAGATAAAAAGCCAACAATGAAGAGTGAATGTAAGATAAAAAGCCAACAATGAAGAGTAAATGTAATATAAAAAGCCAACAATGAAGAGTGAATGTAAGATAAAAAGCCAACAATGAAGAGTAAATGTAATATAAAAACCAACAATGACGAATGAATGTAAGATAAAAAGCCAACAAAGAAGAGTAAATATAATATAAAAAGCCAACAATGAAGAGTGAATGTAAGATAAAAAGCCAACAATGAGGAGTAAATGTAATATAAAAAGCCAACAATGAAGAGTGAATGTAAGATAAAAAGCCAACAATGAAGAATGAATGTAAGATAAAAAGCCAACAATGAAGAGTGAATGTAATATAAAAAGCCAACAATGAAGAATGAATGTAAGATAAAAGCCAACAATGAAGAGTGAATATAAGATAAAAAGCCAACAATGAAGAATGAATGTAAGATAAAAAGCCAACAATGAAGAATGAATGTAAGATAAAAAGCCAACAATGAAGAGTGAATGTAAGATAAAAAGCCAACAATGAAGAGTAAATGTAATATAAAAAGCCAACAGAGTGAATGTAAGATAAAAAGCCAACAATGAAGAGTGAATGTAATATAAAAAGCCAACAATGAAGAATTAATGTAAGTTAAAAAGCCAACAATGAAGAGTAAATCTCTATATATATATATAAAAGTCAATTTCTGTCTGTCTGTCTGTTTCGCGATAAACTCAAAAACTACTGAACCAATTGGTACCAAATTTTGCATGTCGCTTTTTATAAACCTGAGGAAAATTTTCGGCTGCATTTTGATTAGTATTTTTGGCTATTTCTTTTTTTCATTTGAAGAACTTTTTTTACGCGGACTAATCCGGAATGGAATGAATACCTAAATATGGCAATTTTTTTAAGCATCGGTGGTTCAGTGGTAGAATGCTCGCCTGCCACGCGGGCGGCCCGGGTTCGATTCCCGGCCGATGCATTTTTTTTTACAATTTTTAAAACTCATTTATATTATGAAGTATAATAAACAATGTTAAAGATTAGTTTTAATTATTAATCAAGATTGTGTGTAAATATGTTAAAAAGATGTAATATCGTTGTTGTTTTCTTGGCCGACTGTTTTACATATGGTGTTATCTTAAAATTGCTTGTTTTGAATATTTTTTTAGATTGAGTTGAATGGATTGCTGATTTTTTTTTTTTGTATTTATATATAAATAAAATTAACTCTGTTGATTTTTTTTGTATTTAATCGATAACAGCGAAGTTACGCATGTTAAAGTTAGGAAAAATATTTTGATGTTAAGCAAAACCTGCTCCATCTCGTTTTACTTAAATTTTGAAAATTTGGTCGAAATTAATGCATTGTAACGAAAGTTTTTAGCGAACAACACTTATGAAATTTGCATTTTATTAATATCTATATATATAAAATTGAATGTCTGTCTGTTTGTCTGTCTGTTTGTTTGTACTCTATAGATTCAAAAACCATACATCCAATCGCCGTGAAATTTTGGGATATTATTAGGTATATCACCGGGAAGGTTTTTGAAAAATAATTTCATGAATATCTTGAATATCCTTAGAGTAATTTGCAGAAATGTAGATTTAACTCGCAAGCAGCGCCCCCATTGTGACGATGTTAACAAGTTTTCTTATCACTAAGTTTGTTATCTTAAATATTATTTATCAAAAGTAAGATTATCTCAGGATGACACGGC